CAGGAATTTAAACATACTACAGGTACTTGTGGTTCCCTTTCAAAAGGGAACTCCCGCTGCGTCCCCTAGAAGGCGCTATGGGGAATTCCTCCGGCATGACCGGTGTCTGAAGAATAAGTCTAAACACGACAATGAACATGACATCAGCAGTCGGCCTATGACGTCAAAACTGGTGCGGTCGAGAGTATAAAAGGGCATTTGTGAAATACGTCATCCTTTTCTTGTCTTCAGCAGACAGTGAATTTGGAGCACACTGAAAGGATTTCTCAATAAAAGCTCCATTCGCGCCGTCCTTATTCTCAAGGGATGTGGGATACTCTTTTGGGTGGAATGCTATCCAGTGGTGGACACCCCTGGCATCTGCTGGACACCCCTGACATCTCATTGGCCACCCCGGGTGCCACCCCAAAATTTTATATGCTACTATATCATTCTCTTTGTTTTTAATCGTAAACATTTATTTTAGCCTTTTAGAAATTGTGCCGCATCATGCTTCATCTCGTTCAGTGTACCACCCGGGCTTGACTCTCTCTTGAGGGATGAGAGTTGAGTGCCTGCGCCCTGCGGTGGTTATTGTTATTTGAATTAGAGACAGAAAAGTGCTGTAGTTATTATTATTAAAATTATAGCTTGCACCAATGACAGATTAGATCTGTTTTGGCTGCATGAGACAGACTTTTTGGAAAACAATTTCTGTCTGTACATACTGCCTGTCCCCGTGAGCCTTCTGTTTTTCCTTTGATCTCCATGCTGAGGCAGAGAGATTGTAAGGGATTCCATATTTGGTGTGAATGTGTCAATGCTTATTTTCTGTTTCTCAGTAGCTGAGGCTGTCCTCATTGAAGGCTCCAACCTGGCCATTTGGGTTTTTATGTTCTGCTGAATGGCAGGTTCAGTAAGGAGCTCCACTCTGATAGCATTATCAAGTCGTTAGGCTTTCTGTAAGCCTCCTTGGTAAGCCATTCTGAGTATAGGATGTAGTTAGGCCTCCTCTCATCTTAGAGAGTTGTTATGCTGAGGCCTCCATCCTCAGAGCTCCATCACGCTGTGGTGCAGAGTTGTTAGGCTTTCTGAGCCTCCTTGGCCACTGCTTTTAGGTAGGGTTACCTATGAGCCCAGCTATAGGCTAGCAAGTGTGAGTTGTAGGCTCTCTGTGAGCCTCCTTGCAGGATGTCCCGAGTATGGGATGTAGTTAGGTCTCCTCTCATCTTAGAGAGTCATCATGTTGAGACTTCCGATCCTAGAGCTCGGCCAGAAAGTTTGCTAAGTTGTTAGGCCCTTTGTGAGCCTCCCTGGCTACTGCGAGTGTTGTCAGGCCTCCTCTCACGACAGGGTTATCTTTATTGAGGCCTCCGCTCCCCAGAGCTCTGCTAGGACAGCATTGCTGGTTTGTAGGTTCTCTGTGAGCCTCCTTGCAAGATGTCCTGAGCATAGGGTGTAGTTAGGTCTCCTCTCTATTTAGAGAGTTGTCATGTTGAGGGCTTCGTTTCTAGAGCTTGGCTAGGTAGTGGCCTACGTTGTTAGACTCTCTGTGAGCCTCCATGGCTAAGCATTGCTAGGCCACCTCTCGCTGGGGAGAGTTATCTTACTGAGGCCTCCGGTCCCCGGAGCTCTGCTAGGATAGCATTGTGAGTAGTAGGCTCTCTGTGAGCCTCCTTGCATGATATCCTGAGCATGGGATCTCGTTAGTCTCCTCTTGATTTAGAGAGTCGTCATGCTGATGGTTTCGTTTCCAGAACTCGGTTTGTGTTTAAGTTGCTAGGCTCTTTGTGAGCCTCCTTGGCCATTGTGAGCATTGTCAGGCTGCCTCTTTTTACGGAGTTATCTTTATTGAGGTCTCTGCTCCCCAGAGCCCCGTTAGGATAGTGTTTGCAAGCTGTATACTTTCTGTGAGCCTCCTTGCATTGTATTCTAAGCTTGGGGTATCGTTAAGTCTCCTCTCGATTTAGAGAGTCGTTATGCTGAGGTTTTTGCTCCAAGAGCTAGGTTATTGTTGGCTGAGTTGTTAGGCTCTTTGTGAGCCTCCTTGGCTACTACTAGTGTCGTCAGGCCTTCTCTCACTATACAGAGAGCTATCTTTATTGAGGCCTCCACTCACCAGAGCTCCGCTAGGACATAATTTTGCAGGTTGTAGGCTCTCTGTGAGCCTCCTTACAATATGTCCTGAGCGTGGGGCGTAGTTAGGCCTCCTCTCATTTTAGAGAGTCATCATGCTGAGGCCTCTGCTCCTAGAGCTGGACCATCTGCGACCATCAGTGTCGTCAGGCCTCCTCTCTCTACAGAGAGTTATCTTCATTGAGTCCTCCTTTCACCAGAGCTCCGCTAGGATAGCATCTGTGAGTTGTAGGCTCTCTGTGAGCCTCCTTACAAGATAGGCCTTAGGCCTCCTCTAGTTTTAGAGTCTTGTCATGCTGAAATGCATTTTGTGCCTTCTCTAAAATCCATATTTATGGTTAGAGCACAAGCTGACTGCTTCGCACCTTTTCTGAAATCCATGCTAATGGTAAGGGCATGTGCCGAGTGCTTTGTGACCTTTCTATCTGTGTTAGACCCCAGTTTGCTCTTAAACAGAGCAGGTTTGCCAAGTTGACTAGGCTCTCTTTGAGCCTCCTTGGATACTGCGAGCATTGTTAGGCCTCCTCTGGTTGAGGCCTCCACTCCCCAGAGCTCCGCTCAAAGAGTAATGGTGAGTAGTAGGCTCCTTGTGAGCCTCCTTACAAGATATCCTGAGCATGGGGCGTTGTTAGCTCTTCTCTCAATTTTGTTAGCTCTTCTCTCCGTTCTAGAGAAGCTCCGGTCTATGATTGCGTTGCTGGTGCAGGGGTGAGTCCTTTGAGTCTTGGACTTAGCTCAGCCAATAAGGCATTCATCCCTTCAGCATGGCGGCATGGGTATACCATTCCCCATAGCGTCCTCTAGGGGATGCAGTGCGAGTTCCCTTTTGAAAGGGAACGTCTCAGGTTACACATGTAACCATGGTTCCCTGAGAATGGGGAACGAGACGCTGCGTCCCTTTGCCATGCTTCAGGCATTCCTGCGTACATCTCCTTCAGACAAGAAGTGGGTGATGTATTTCACAGGTGCCCTTTTATACACTCGGCCGCACCAGTTGTGAAAGTATCAGTTTCAAAGTATTTTTTATTAGTATTTTTTATTTTTATTTTTTTTACTTTTTTTGCAAGCAGCTAGATGGAGAACGTATTTATTTATTTTTGTATTGTAAAAGGTGAAATTAATTATTGTCTCTTTAAATTTCACCTTCACTATTACAGGTGCAGTGGTTGGAGGATGGGTCACCTGAAAGCGATGCAGAGAGAGTAAGGGTCACGGAAAGCTCAGTCAAAATCACGGGTCTGAAGGGAAGCACGCTTTATCTGATGTCAGTCAGAGCACACAACAGCGCGGGCACCGGGCCCTCCAGCGCACCCATCAGCATCACCACCAAGAAGCCACGTAAGTCATATTGTTATAAAAACATGATTTCTAACCAGACAAGGTAAATGAGTAGTTGACATGAAATGCTTTTGGGCAAACTCCATTTAAAACTTTTTTGCAGCATCTAAGTCCTCTGTATTTGTTATGCATGTAAATTTGATGATAGACTACATGGAATATTTGCACAAAAAGTGAAAGTAAAAAGGCCAATAATAACAAAACGTATCCAGTATTCAGACTTCCAGGGGCCTCAAAAGCCTCAGGCTGTATGAACAAAATTGCCAACAGAAGCTGAATGGCAGGCATCTCACTGTAATTAGTGTACTCAGGGCCCTCAGGCTCCAAATAAACTAAAAGCTATAGCCCCCTTGACCTATTGGCCATGCTTTTAATTTTTTTTTTTTTTTTTTCAGAAGCTGCATCTGAATTGGTATTTATTGCAACTCAGATGTGGCCTGAATGCATTTACACTTCAGTTACAATTGTGTAAATAATGCAATGAGATTGCGCCGCGATTGCAGCAATGCCATGTAAGAATGATGAAGATTCTTACAGCGATGGCGCTGCAGACGGCAGCCTCAGTGTTTGGCTCTCCAGTGTTTGTATTGTTTTTGTTAGTTTTTCCTGTTTTTTGTTTCTCAAACACGATCAGTTTTACCAGGGATGAGCTGCTGAACATTCGGCAGAACATGCCACACAATCTTCTACCGGATTTCGTTTATTCGGACGTTTTGCTGAACGTTGTAGTCGGCGGAGCTGCTGCGCTGATCAAGCACTTCAGGATGCGCAGACGAGGGAAGAGAGCCGGCACGCTCGTGAAGCTCAGGAAGCGCGGATTCAGAACGCCGTTGCCGAGCATCCATATGGCGAATCTCCACTCTCTACCCAACAAAACGGACGAACTTCTTCTGCTCTCCCGGACAAATAAGGATTTTTCACACTCTGCTGCTCTGTGTTTCACGGAAACCTGGCTGAATGACGCCATCCCGGACAGCGCGTTGAGTCTCCCGGGCTTTCAGCTGTTCAGAGCGGACCGCGACGCAGAATCAACGGGGAAGTCACGCAGCGGCGGGACATGCATTTACATCAATGAGAGGTGGTGTACAGATGTAACTGTGTTAAAGAAGATGTGCTGTTCAGATCTAGAAGTGCTCTTCATTAACTGTAAGCCTTTCTACTCGCCGCGGGAGTTTTGCTCATTCATTCT